GTTTGGACGTAATATTCAACAACTTTTTTTTTCTGTGTATAATGATTTACTACAGCCGTTAAATTTTATCCTCGCTAGAAGTCATTTGAAGTTGATGCAGAAGTCCTCTGTTGCCAAGTTAAAAGAAAGGGAATCTTTCGAAAACCGTGATGCGAGTTCAACTGTTTTTCTCTTGACGTGACTCATTATACACCGACTCTAGCCGAGTTAAATTTAACTCGTGGTTAAAAGTGATATTTCGAAAGTTATTTACTATGTTTGAAAATCCCTGTGCTGTCGATCGACCGGTTTTCGAGAAGAACTTAGCCAAGGTTGTCAAAATTTAACTTCTTGTCTGTCAGAAGTAACCAAGCTCGGATAACAGCCCGAATAAACATGTATTATAAAGCTATTATACCATTTATCATTTTATGATTATTCAAGTAAATAATATGATGATACATGTTATCTTGCAGTAACTGTAAACCTAAGATAAAATGGATCATATCGATGATATATGTTATGATAAAACAAGATCTTACCATTACCTTAATAGGTCGTTAAGTATAGTTACCATACAAAAAACCACTTTTTTTCGAACAAAATGTTCGCGAAAGTATTCAGGAAACAATCGTTGTATAATCTTATTTTCTTCTGTTATATTATAACATATATCGTTCCATACTGGTAAAATTATAAGAAATGTGTATGTACCGTGGCTATATCCGTTATTACTATTGAATAATAATATATAATAACAAAACTATAACGGGTATAATTTTGGGATAGTAATATTATAAGGAATTTATAATCATGACGATACCCGTTATAATTATCGGAAAGTAATGAATAATAATTATAACAATCTTTCAACCCAAATAAAATAAAAAAATAACATTATTGAAATTGATTTTAGCTTTATTTTCTGCTCGTTGTGCGGTTTTTATGATAAACATAGAAAAAAAAAAATTATATAACAAAAACAAGTTAAAAAACCATCGAGATTCTCGTTGAAAAAAAAAACCAAGTAAGATGAGTAAAATTAAATTAAATGCAGATTAATTTCTGCACACTTTCTTCAAATTGGAGATCTTTTGCGCGATAAAGCGCTTGATGGTTCTTTCGTCCGAGGCCGTTCGAATTGTAGCGGCATTTTCAGGGCCTACCCGAATAGCGGTTCTTTCAGCAACTTTATCTGTGGATAAACATTAAAAAATTATATTAGTCTGATGATCCATTCAAGCAATTCTTTCTTAACACATGCGTACCCAACCTTTTCAGCTTCGTCATTTATAGACCGACTTCGATTAAACAGCATCCAATCGAATGGAAATCATTTCTTGTTACCTCTAATTTATATTGATTTAGCTTATTTTTCCTTATTTAATTGTTTTTTAATTCTTGGTTTCAAATCGATTAAAAAAACAACAAACAAGAATGAAGCATAACCATCACAAAATCTAAAACAAGAGACAATTCCCGATCGATTGGAAGTTGTTTTATCAAAGTTGGTCTAATAATGACGAAATTAGAGCCAAGATTGATTCTTTAGGCGGAAAAGGTTTGGCACGTATGGGTTACTTAATAAATATCGGTACAGTTGAAAACCGGAAAAATATACTAGTGACAGTTGATTTTATTCTCCATTTATATGTACTTATACACAATGTCGGGAATAGTGCGCTGTAATCGTACAATGATGCGCTATACAGTGCAATACTTCCGACACTATTTATAACGTACAGAAAAAGAGTAAAATCGAAAGTTTTATCGATCTGTTTGCTGAACATAGCTTGGAAAGTATTTACATGGCCGTGGGGATGCAAAGAGAAAGTCGACAAATATAATCTGTCAATGTTACTTAGGACCTAACGCAATTTATATTCCAATCGGACCCACGACTATAATTCTAGATAGAGCTATAATTAAGGCGTATCAACCTTTCTAAACAATGACTTCTCTCGTTGATTTATAGGAACTTAAGACACAGCCATACAAACCAACATATCCATCGGATAGGGGAACTCTTCCCATACTCGTTGGTGATGTTGATTTTCCAGCAAGAACCATGACTTTCGAGAAATAATCGAGAGCTGTTACGCCCTAATTCCAGCTCTATCTAAAATTATATGCATTAACCCTAATTATAATTTTCAAACCTTATAAAAAAATAAAAAGGTGAATAACTAACCTTATCCTTTATGTCCTGTCGATTCAGCTCGGTGGCAGTATTAACCTCCAAATTCTGCCTCCGTTTTGGGCGTTTCGAAGGTGGGTTTTCTATAAATGAAAAAAACATTGTCAGTCTGTTTCTGCAGGCAAAACGCGCAAAAATCGTGGCCAAAGGAATTCCAATGGCGACTGTTTCATCGTTTTGTTTTACGATGAAACAGACTATATTGATTAAAAATATTAAATTATTGCTTACCTCGCTGCGGCTGCTTGGCTCTGAGTTGTGTTCCTCGCTTCGGATGAGGTTTTTGGTTCATCTTTGAATTTTTTTTCTGAACGCCGACGACGATGGAAACGCGACTTTTCACTTCACGCGTCGTCGAAGACCGTGTCGTCAGCCGTGATGCCAAATTTCTTTGATGTGTTACTAACACACTGAAACATTTGTACACAAAATTGTGTAATAGTGTATGTGACATGCACATACAGTGGGATGATACTCATGTAAGGTAGTAGTTGTAACAGAATTCAAGGCAATCAAAGGGAGGATTATAAAATCAGGCGTAACATTTGATAACGGCACAAAAGCTTTTGTAAACAAAAGTTGTAAGGCCTTTTACACGCGAACCCAAGTACGCACACGTAAACCAACAACATCATCGGATGGGGAAAATTTTCCCCTTTCCTATAGTTGTATTGGTTTGCGTGGGCGTAGTTCGGTTCGCATGTAAAGGGCCTTACAACTTTTGTATAAAAAAGTTTTTGTGCTGTTTTCAAATGTTACCGCTGAAATGCAGATGTATAGTGATAATATTTTAGAAAAGTGTACACACACTAGAAAAAAAAGATAACATATGTAATTCAACATATTATGCGGAATGAATTATATACGTTATCTTTTCTGCTGGCATTTATGTATTTGACTTTAATAATGCCAATACAATTATTATTGTCATTCAATTGTGCACCAGTATTATCCTCGGATTAAAACCCGATCAGAAATGTCGAGCTGTTTTGTTATCGACGTCGATTTTAAATAATACAATCTTCAGCAAACATTTGACCGATTCTTCAATCAGAGCCAGTATTAACCCGAGTTGGAGCTAGCCGTCATATATAAACGAAAAAATAAATTTATCATATCATATGGTACATAAATCTTGAAAAAACTACATAATACTGAAGTAATGAAGTAATGAAATTGGGTTGTTAGCGGAATGCTAAATAAAACAGCAAAAAAGGTTATCTTCCATTTAATTCCACTTAATTAATTTTGGTATCCATGACAGATACGTATTTCGACTACAATGTGCAGTCTTCATCAGTGTCATTCCCACTAAAGAACTTATCAAAATCTAACCCCCTTAAGTACTCATCCCCTAGGTAAAAAAGTCAAGATCATAGGTATAAAAATGAAACTACAATGTGTTGAATCGGAACCTACCTAACTAATAAAAACCAAAGATTTAAGTAAGCTAAAGGAGAAAAATCTATACAACTCTCTAATAAGGAAAATCCCCAAAGGCTTGGTAGCCATCATAATGAAGTAATGAAATTGGGTTGTTAGCGGAATGCTAAATAAAACAGCAAAAAAGGTTATCTTCCATTTAATTCCACTTAATTAATTTTGGTATCCATGACAGATACGTATTTCGACTACAATGTGCAGTCTTCATCAGTGTCATTCCCACTAAAGAACTCCAGAACAACATGTGAAAAGGGCATACAAGCTTTTTGTAAACAAACCTTCTTATGCCCTTTTCTCGCCACCCATATGACACCAACGCAAACCTTTAACATCACCGGGTAGGGGACACTTTCCCCTTCCCGATGATATTGCTGGTTTGCGTGGGTGACCCTCGGTTGGTGAAAAAAGGGCCTACAAAGGTTTGTTTACAAAAAGCTTGTATGCCCTTTTCACATGTTGTTCTGGAACTTATCAAAATCTAACCCCCTTAAGTACTCATCCCCTAGGTAAAAAAGTCAAGATCATAGGTATAAAAATGAAACTACAATGTGTTGAATCGGAACCTACCTAACTAATAAAAACCAAAGATTTAAGTAAGCTAATACTATATATTTCATATTCAGGGAATCATTACCATATCTAGAATGCTCCGTTTATTGTTATATATGGTTGAAATATTTTTTGGCCATACCATCCCATTAGTCACGGATTGTTTATCTTATGGTAATTATAACAGGAATGGATAATTAATAATAGTGATCTTTCAGCTTATGGTATATTTCTATTCGGGCACATAAAAATAATCTTTGAAATTTTATCAGTGCACCAATAGATTTGTGCAGAAACGAAATTCATTTAATTTTACTATTTTTTTTATCAAAACTACTATGCCGTTTTAGTAAGCATAGTAGTTTTGACAGAATGGTATTAACTTTGTTTATATTTATAGTCAGTTATACTGAAATCATGGTGAATTTAATGGCATTAAGCGTAGTTATACCGAAAATAAGTGTTTTCTGCAAAATAGTATTTCTAACTATGGTCTTTGTTTCAGTGTTAGTTAAAAGTCCCTTGACCCACCGTTCCTATCCCTCTGACAGAAAAATGCAATGCATCCAAACTAAAGCCCTACAGTAAAAGTATGGACGACTGACACCACAAAACTGAAAAAAGCTGTTCCAATCGAGCAAAGCGGTGCATTTTGACGGTTCGATTGGAACAACTTTTGACAGACGTCCATACTTTTACTGTAGGGCTTTAATCCAAACGATCCGCAAACACTTTTGATTTGTCATGTAAACGTCAACACCTTGTTTCTTGTTGTGATTGAAAAATTGTGGGTGTGTTGTATACACATTAAATGCGGTGGACAAACGGTGAAATTCTCCGCAAAGCAATCTGTTTGTGGAAAACTAAAAATAGGTGCCTCGCTTGCATTCTAAATCGCAGATGATTTTGTATGTTCTCGTGGCAGTGTTAACATACCAATTAACAACTGAAATACTAGTAGCAGATGGTGAGTTATAGGAGAAACTTTTCGAAGATAGCCGTAAGTGTTTACATCCGATGAATACTGTGAGAAAATATAAAAAACAAAAAAATTAACTGTTATAAGTTTCTATCAACTTTAGAATGTTGTATTAGAAACTTCACCTGGTGTATACGGCAACGGAGATGTTCAATGTTTCAATTGTAATTCTGTTCTGTCAGTCTTAACCATATTATGGAATTCGTTGATTGAAATATGTTGATATGCTTCTTCTCTTGTTGTTTATTGTAATTACTTGCTTCATGAACCACGGGTACCATCCTCTCATAGTGTTCACTCGGAGTGATCTAATTCTAAAAATATCAAATTTTCACCCGAGAGTGTGTTTTTCACGTTTCCTTCTATCTTTCGTCTTTGCACAGTGCCAGAAGTAAGTCGCACATTTCTCGGAACTGAAGCGCAGCTCTAGAACCAGATAGAATTATCGAGAATCTTCGGATTTTCTGCGCAATAATTGGAAACCAAGGTTCGATATCTTATAAAAGCTATTGAGTTACTGTGCTAGCAGGTCAGTATACAGTTGAAACAGTGAAAGTTAGTCGGAAGCTTAAGTAAAATAATAATCATTCAATTTTAAATCACGATTTCAGTCGGCAAAAAGATGGTCAGCGATAATACTCAAAAACAACAGGAGGACCCGAGTGTGTGCAAGGAGCGAGGAAACGAGGAGTTCAAAAATGGCTATTGGGATACGGCCATTACGTGGTATAGTAAAGCGATCGAATTAGGCGCGAAGCACAAGGACTTGCCGGTGTTTTACAAGAACCGTGCCGCAGCTTATTTGAAGTTGGACCAGTTTGAGCAAGCTGCTGACGATTGTACCAAGTCGTTGGATTGCTGTCCGAATGACCCGAAAGCATTGTTCCGTAGATCGCAGGCATACGAATCACTGGAGCGCTTTGAAGAGGCTTATAGAGACCTCCGAACGATCCACACGCATGATCCGAACAATAAGATGATTAAGCCTCATCTGGAGAAACTACACGCAATTGTTCAGGAACGGGCTCGTGATCGGGCACAAACGTCGAACAGGGTCACTCAGATGTTCCAGATTGCTTTTGATTTGGCTGCCGTCAAGGAAAAACGTGAGCAAGCCATGAATAATATTGTCGTGTTAGCTCGTGAATCTGCCGGAGCTGAAGTGATGTTGAAGGAGGGTTTGGTCACACGCATTGGCAAGTTGCTAAAAGTTGAAAAGAATAACGACATCTTCACCAATGCTGTAAGGGCTATCGGCGAAGTTTGCGCAAAAAGTCCAGAGAGAACCAAGACAGTGCTGAAAGAGTTGGGTATTCCGTGGTTCCTACAAATTCTCGATAGCAACATGGAAGATCGAGTGGCAGCTTCTCAGCATTGCATGCAGACGGTTTTGAACTCACTTTCTGGTATGGAGAACAAGGAAGACAGCAAACCAGTTAAAGAGCTAGTGCAAGAAAACAAGCAGCTGATTGATACTCTTCTAAGCTGCTTGGTTTACTCTATAACGGAACGAACCATCACTGGAATGGCTCGAGATGCCATTATGGAACTGATCATCCGGAACGTTCACTACAAGACCATAGACTGGGCAGAACGCCTGGTTGAAATGAAGGGACTCATCCGGCTGATGGATGTGTGCTCTGAGCTGGAGGAGTACAAATACGAAAGCGCCATGAATATTACCCCTTCATCACGAACGATTGCCTCGGTTTGTTTGGCCCGTATCTACGAAAACATGTACTACGATGCCGCTCGGGAGCGTTTCGGCGAGCAGATTAGCGAGTTCGTGAACGATAAACTAATGACACCAGATCATGAATCGAAGGTTCGTGTTACGGTGGCCATTACTTCTTTGCTGTTGGGTCCGCTGGATGCCGGTAATTCCATGATTTCGAGGGAAGGCGTGATGCAGATGATTCTGGTTATGGCGCAATCAGATGATCTGCTGGAGCAAAAGGTAAGATGATGCTCATTTTGCTATATAAATCAAGTATTAGTTTGAAACCGATGATTTCTGGTTTGCAGGTAGCATGTGAGTGTATCATAGCAGCGGCTTCCAAGAAAGATAAGGCCAAAGGGTTGGCTCTGAGTGGAGCGGAAGTCCTCAAGAAGTTATACTCTTCCAAGAATGAGGAAATCCGCGTCCGAGCGTTGGTTGGTCTGTGCAAACTTGGCAGTTCGGGCGGTTTAGATGCGTCAATTCGTCCATTTGCTGATGGTTCAACGAAAAAGCTCGCCGAAGCATGCCGAAAGTTTTTGATTAAACCCGGCAAGGACAAGGACATCCGCAAGTTTGCTGCTGAAGGTTTGGCCTACCTGACGCTGGATGCAGATGTGAAAGAGAAGCTGGTCGAAGATCGTGCCGCTATTCAGGCACTTATTGAACTTGCCAAAACCGGAGATCAGTCTGCACTTTATGGCGTTGTAACCACGTTAGTCAATTTGGTCAACGCCTACGAGAAGCAGGAACTTCTTCCTGAGCTGGTACAGCTAGCCAAATTCGCAAAGCATCACATCCCGGAGGAACACGAGTTGGACGATCCGGACTTTGTCAGTGGCCGTATTATTGTTCTTGCTAACGAAGGAGTGACATCGGGTTTGGTTGCTCTCTGCAAAACCGAAAGCGACAACAGTAAGGAAATGATTGCCCGTGTATTCAATGCACTCTGTAGTGAACCGGAAGTCCGCGGCAAAGTTGTGCAACAAGGCGGAGCGAAAGTTTTACTCCCGTTATGTTTCAAGGGAACGGCGAACGGAAAACGACATGCTGCCCAAGCATTGTCTCGCATTGGAATTACCATAAACCCAGAAGTGGCATTCCCTGGTCAAAGAAACCTGGAGGTCATCCGACCACTGTTGAACCAGCTGCATCCAGACTGTTCGTCGCTGGAGAATTTTGAAGCGCTGATGGCTCTTTGCAACCTTGCATCCATGAACGAATCCACTCGGCAGCGCATTATCAAAGAGGAAGGCATTGGTAAAATTGAATCCTACATGATAGAGGATCACCTAATGCTAAGACGTGCATCCACCCAAGTAATCTGTAATATGGTGCAGTCTCCGGACGTTATCAAACTTCATGAGAAAGAAAATGATCGAGTTAAATTCTTAGCACTGCTCACAATGGAAGAGGACGAAGATACTGCGAATGCAGCTTCTGGAACGTTGGCCTATTTGACAGCTGTCAGCGATAAGTGCTGTGAGAAAATGTTCAGTCCTAATAGTTGGTTGGAAGTCTTCCATACGTTGGTGGCCAATCCAAGCGCAGATGTTCAATATCGGGGCACTGTCATCATCCATAATATCATCAAATCCAACAAAACTTTGGCAGAGAAACTTTTCGACACAGACATTTTGCGGATGTTGTACGGTGTAACCCAATTAAACGACGAGAAGCGTGCCAAAGCAATTGAGACGGCTCAAAAGTGCCTGAAAATAGCCGAAGAATACCGACTAATTGAAGAGAATAAGGATGCCGATCTTGCTCCGGATGTGTTTGAACAGCAGAAGCGGGAGGCAACAATCGAAGAGATCGATGAGTAAAGCAGCCGGCGAACTAAATCCCTATCGTACTGAAAGTGCATTACACGGAAGAAGTGGAATTCTTTCGATTATTTTATAACTCTTTTTCTTAACTTTTATTATAGTTTGTTTAGAAAATGACTTAGTGTTCTCTTAATAAAACCAACAAAAAATCATAAAAATTTCTATTAGGGTTTCTGTTCCGGAATTCGCAACGGTTTTCGCCCATGCCTGCTAGAATTTCGCAAATCGCATTTCATTTTAAAAATCCATTATGTTGGCCAAATAATCCAATATGGCTGCTAAACATTTTGATTATGCCAAATGAAAGCTTTAAAGCTACGATCAGACTAACATGTTCTTCAGTACAACCCTGCACAGTTTATCTGGCTTCCAATGTTTATCTGGCGATTAACAGTTCTCTGCAGACAGTCAACATATATGTTACTGTAGAACTGCGGACAGTCAAAGTGTACTGATTATGGGTTAATAACATTGGTTTATACATACTCAGACATGACATCCAAGCCTCTCTGGAGTTTGTTTGTCAGAGCCTCGATGACCCAACCCTTGTAGACGATGGATGTGTCGTCTACGAACATAGACAACGATCCACCATCAGGGAGAGCCGAAATATCGGAGGTGAATAGATTGAACAGGATGTGCCCAAGGACCGATGTTGAAGGCATTCGATGTGATGCCATTCAGAGAGACCTGGGACGCCCTGTCTTATAGATAATTTTGTATGATCTTCACGATGAAGATCGGAAGACCGTATCGATGTAACCACCATCATGCCAGACAATGCCACAGCAGATGTTTTAGAAACAGCCTTGTTTCGTCTAAGAATGTTTGTTACTCGGGTCAGTTGACGGACGGTCGATCGACCTTTTCGAAAACCAAACTGCTCCTCGAGTAAGATATTGTTTTCTTCGGCAGATCTTAGAAGCATTGCCCTTTCGAACAGCTTGAGAGAAGGCTGATGGGTCGGTAACTTGAAGGAGAGGAAGGATCCTTCCCAGGTTTCCGGATGTGTATGACTTTGACTGACTTCCATCCCGAGGAGAAATAGCACAGTCGGATGCCAGTGCCAGATGGTTGAAGAATCTGGAACTTGTAACCTTCGAAGAAGTTTCCACCTAGAAATGATGGCTTGGTGAGAAATTTGAACTAAGATCTACAGGAATATTGTCAGTAAATGTAAATAATCATGCAAAGAAAGTTTAAATTATATAAAGAAAAAGACGATTAAATGCAATAAATGAAATTAAATTAAATTTTGAAATTATCATGCTGAAAGAGGATATAATTCGTTGTCACGCTGTCCTGAAAAAAAAAACAATTTCAGAAGACTAGCATGGTGCAAAAATATGGGATGTGCTGCCAAATGAGACGGATTGTATCTCTTTTGAGCATTGTAGAAGCAGCTAGGGCCATCTAAAATCTAGGTAGTGTTAGGGCGACTCGCATCTTCGAATTCGACCGTGCTGCCGATACTCGAACCCAACTGCTCGAACGCACGAAGTGAGCCGAAGGCGCGCAGACTCAGGCGATCGAGGATGGCGTGATGATCGTACGATGAGTTGGAATGCTACCTAACTTATCTTGGCAAAGCTATATAAGCTCACTTCACCCCCACAAAAGTCTCTTAATCCTGGGAAGTGAAGTTATACGGAGTGTTTCAAAAGTTCGACAAAATTTTCTAAAAAAATTCAGAACAGAAGTTCTTTTGCCGCGTTACCTTTGATCGGTCGCTAAACGTCAAGGAGTGTTCTCGCGTTCGAGTAACGTTGTGCCCAATTCCAACCGTGTTCCGCAAACTTAGAAAGTGGTCCTGTGAATCTTTTGGACATTTTTTCTAAACGACACGTGATGAAGAGCGTGCAGTGATAGTTTGTAGCTACCGGTCAGAAGCCAAATAGTTCCGGAGTGCTATCCACGCTAGACCGCTTCCCAGGCTGTCGAACGGACCGTCCGTCACCATACGGTCCTCTCCAAAACTCCATCAACGCACCGTACCATCGGAAAGTGCGAAGAAGCTAGCGGTTTCATCGAGGAGGCGTGTTAGGCGGTCGGCCGAGCGCGGGAACGAGGTCAGCGATCCACGTGGTGCACCACCAACGAGGCAGCGGTAGCAGTGAGCAGCATCAACGAGAGAACAGTGAGTCAAAAGTGTCCAAAAAAGTTCCAATTCCATTTTGAATAAATTTTTAAAAGTTTAAAATTCAATCTAATTTGCTTGTGTCGCGAACATCTTTTGCATGCACCAAAGAAATCGATCTAGTGTGGTTTCCTTTACGATAGTTGGAGTATTTCGCCTCGAGTCTTTTCCTAGCGTGGTTTTGTGCCGACCCTGAGGTTTATTATTTGGTGAGCTAGTCCGGCAAACTAGTAAAGACGGCCGTCCCGGCAACGGGTGGAAGTCTTCTTAAGTTACCAACTCAAATATTAGTTCCAGATTGAGGTTGGCGAAACCTGGGGCCTTCATATTTTTGGATGATTTGATATAAGCCAACAGTTCGTCATCTGTGATTTTGGATTCCGCAGGAAAGATGTTGGGAGTCTCATGAAGGTTGGGTGAATTTTCAGACACCGCAGCCTCGTGTGGACTTATGCTGTTCTGTCCGAGATTGTGGGAGCTGACGAAGTGTTGACCTATCACTGCAGCCTTCTCTACAGGTGGTATCAGATGAACCACTGACTCATCGGAACGATTCAGCGGTATCAGTGGTGGAATGGGCCTAGACTTGTTTTTAAGAATTTTGGTAAATTTACAGAACGGCTTAGCACAATCTGGGAGAGAGCGGATCTAACTAGTAAAGTCGTTATTCCTGAGATCCACCATCCTGGCTTGGACCATTGTTGGAACTGACCCCAGTCGACACGATGGTAGTTACGCCGAGAAGCTTCAAATCGGTTCATGGAGGAACCAACCTCGGCCACCACCGGATAGTGGTCCGAGCTGAGTTCCTGATAGGTGATAGGTTGAGCGTTGTTGTTGCCCATGTTGCTGATGAAGATATCGATGGTAGCGTGAACACCGGACTGACTCAACCTGGTGTTCGGGCTCAAGATGTTGTAGCGAGCTTCTTGCAGATCGTTGTTTATGATGGTACCGTTCTGGTTGCGCCGACTGTTGTCCCAAGCTTGATGTTTGGCGTTATACGGTTACCAGCAAAGATGTACTTCTCACTCCTCCGAGTGTGCTTGATAATGTCACTTCGAGGGCCACCGCCAACCCGTCTCTGGTGTTTACTTGCTTGGGGCAATAGACTACATTTATGGAAATGGAGCCGGCAGAAGTGGAGACTTCGACCCCTACGGGTTCGATGACTTTCAGCTGGAAACTTGGCAGTAGTCGGAAGCATATGTTCTTCCTTATAGCGACGGCTACTCCCCCTCCCCCGAAGCTGGTTCTATCAAGCCACACGAGTCGGGATTCTCGAGCGTTTCGGTAATGACGGCAATGTCAATGTTTCGTTCGTTGAGGAAGTCAATGAACTCGATTTTTTTTTGCTCTTGAGCGAGCAAGTGTTCCAATTTGCGATGCTGATGGTTTCACAGGCCATATTGAATGACGAATAGGCCCAGGGTTTGAATCCGGTCGAATCGGGTTTTGCAGCTGCACATAGAGTTGGACAGCTGGGTGAAAAGGGGGATCAACTACACCGGTGAGTAAGGAGAGTTTGTGTTGTCGTAGTTTTCCGTTTTCCAGAACGGCAAAGCGGTTGTTTGTCAGCAGCTTTTTGGCTGATGGCTGTGTGTCGGCGTGAATCGGTCATCGCGCTACCACGAAATATCTTCCCCATATCGGGGTTAAACCATAGAGGTAACTCAAAGACCAGAACGTTCCGAAGAAACGTGCTCAACTTTTTGGCTCATCTCTGCACAGATAAAAAATATGAATTTTAATAGTAATGTAAACATTCATTCACGTAAACTTGTGTTTCATTTCACGCAACCAAGCAACTTGTAAACAATGTTGTTTACAACAATGGGCTTTTGCATACAATATTTGCTACATTGCATGGAATGTCTCAGAACTTTACATGATATATAATGTAAACTTATATGATATGTGACGCTCCATTTATGTGCATCATACTGAACAGAAATTTACACTACTTTTTCGAACTGTGTGGTACTCTCACTTTTACTCAGTTTTGAGTCACTTTTACTCATAAGTATGGAGAAATTTCTAAAAGCGTATGTCCCTCAGCGCATATGTAACCTACACTCAAATATATTACTAATCTAAAATAGTATAAAATTTAAGCTTTATTTGATTTAGCTGTGTATACTGATCGCTATGATTAAAAAATGTCTTTATTTATTTATACATGACGTGTCTCTGTGTGTTTCTGCATATAGACCTACACACTTAGAAATAACTACTTTTATACGAGACGTAATCCATATTGGACGTAAATCATGGAACGTAAGCTTCCCTTAGCTCAGTCGGTAAAGGCGCAGCTACAAAGCAAGACCATGCTGGAGGCGACTGGGTTCGATTCCCGGTCCGGTCTAGGAATTTTTCGGGTTGGAAAATTTCTCGACTTCCCTGGGCATAGAAGTATGATTGGACTTGCCACACAATCATATCAATGCAAAAATGGTACAGGCATCGAAAGCTCTCAATTAATAACTGTGGAAGTGCATCTAGAACACTAAGTTGAGAGCACGCAATAAGCTAATATGCGATATGCAATAAGCTTGAAATGCGAAAAAAAAAAAAAAAACTTTTGATGTAAAATTAGGTAGAACAAACCGAAACAGAAATGCGAAGAGAACGTTTGATTGGAAATTGATTTTCTCGTTTCTTTCAACTGATTCTTATGTCAAAAGGGCCGCTTACATGTGTCGGTCTCAGGGAACCGTAATTTACACGACTTTTTCGTAGTGTGGGTATCAAAACGTTGAGTGAAAATTAATGCTTTCTGGCAACCATTACATCCACATTTGTTTATGAACAGAATTCTTTTTTTTTTTGCTCTCGTCCAAAATTTACCAATTTAATAATGCACAGTGTAACCAACAATCAATACGAAACTAACGATTTTAAATTGGCTCACCACTTGACTAGCCTATTGGTCCCAAGCAAACGATTAACGTACCCTATTCTAGTCGAAATTCTAATACTACGCAATGTTTG